AAAACTATTTCTAACTTGAAAAGCTTTTAAAGTTATCACAATAGTTTTTTTATTATTAATTTTGTATAACAAATGAGTTTGTCTTCTACTACTTCTGCTTCACTTGTGTCCATCTATCACAGCAGCACTGTGCGAGAGCACAGGCTTATTACCCTCATCCTCGAGGGAACAGAGGTAAAGTGACTGTCTCCCAAAGGCAATTCAGAAGAACTATAACAGAAGTAAGCTTTTCTCCAAAAAACATTCTGGAGGGCAAAGCATCATATTAGACTCCTATACACCAGAAGCCAAAAAGCAAAGCAAACCAAAAAAACACCAGCCTGCAAAAAAACCTAGATGGCATTACTCTTCTCTAAGCGAATTCCTCAGTATCACACACAACTCTCAACTAAGGAGATCTTTATTTCAGGTTAATAATGTTCAATGCTTTTAACACGTTTTTCTGTCTTTAAAATAAGAAATGTAGTTCATCTTGTGAACTTCACTGTGTCCTCACAGCTTCCAGTAACGTATTGATTAATCAGCGCTCTGTTAGTCTAGATTTACACACAGAGTTTGATTTTGTTCCAAACTGAATTCAGTTTCTTCTTTAATTCAGGACAATTTTAAAATATTTTTTCCAAAGTCCCAATCTCTGTTAAATGATCTTCCCTTACATCTAGCACAAGTGTCAGTGAGCAGGTAATCCTCAACAGAGCAAGTCTACCGGCATTCACTATAAACAAACCACCTAGCTCCGTTGCCCCGAAACGCTGAGGTTTATTCTTACAGCTCACATGGAGCTGCGCAGACTAACACCCAACCTCATGTTTATAAAAGACAGGTTTGTTAACGCCACAGTCACACAACTTCTTGTTCAGTTCTGCATAGGAAGAAGCAACTACATCATGATGTAAGACAATGAGAATTAAGACAAGCAAAATTCAACACGAGTTATTTTCCATTAGAAGAGCATTTGTATAACAAAATTAAAACTCCCGCATACAGAGTTCCAAGTAACCCGACTGCATTGCTATTTAAATAGCATCTCCCATATCACTGATGTTACCACATTTTCACCGAGACGAGACTGTGCCAAAGCTCGAGGCTGCACGAGCCGCAGGCGGCACTGCCCACCGTAGCTGGGAAGCGCGCAGACCAGCCACGACCACGCGGTACTGCCGTGGGCACTGAACAGGGCTGCCCAGAGGGAGCCCAGCAGGGAAAACCCTGTTGAAGTCTTAGCATCGTTCTAGAAGAAATGTCAGCAGCAAAAAGCTTGTTGGTCTAAACCAACAGCTGCTTTTTCTTACGAGAGGTGTCCCCACCCCTCTGGTGCTGTTCAGCCCCCTGCAGACAGCACCCGCAACGCCCCGGCTGCCCCAAGGCCCCCACGGCGCCGAGCGATGCTCTCCTCGGCGGGAGAAGGGGCTTTGCCCGCGAGGTGAGCGTGCCCCAGTCCGACAGCTCTGAGCTGCCATAGCCTGGGCTCAGGCAGAGTGAAGGGGCGTTCATTTCAAGTCAAGGCTGCCCTCAGTATAACAGAAAAAGGTAGAGTTTGTATCTGTTAAATGAACAACCAAAGCATTCACGTCTCCTACGCAGCTCACAGGAAACTTTTGTGATTATTAGCCTTAAACAGAAAAGTCAAGGAAGCACAGACCCTCCCCATACAAAAGGATCTAAGTTTTAAAATTTGATTTCTGATATTTTAAAATCTCCTGTTGATACAACCAACACCTAGGTCTCATGAAAGTGTAAAATTAGGGGAGGAAAAGTTTCCATTTCACCTTACTTGTGCAATTGCCAGCGTTTTTGAACAATCAGTTTCTCATTTGGCAAGAGTTTTTTCTGTTTTAGTCCCTCACAAAGTAGCAGGAGTGAAAAATCACTTAAAGAAATCAGGATCTTAAGAAAGGCAGACTTTAAGTATAGCCAAATTAAACTTGAAACTTATTCAAAACGAAATTTAAATCGTAGGTGTTAGCACACTTTCCTCATACACTCAGTAAAGCTCCAATGTATGTACACACAGCGTGGCACACCGACACAAGCGAAGTTACTCTCCCAACAGCCCAAGAGCTAACACAGAAATTGTTTAATTACAATCAAGTTTCCACAAGAGATCAACCATGGTGAATTTCAAAGCCAGCACTGGAAAGCGTAAGCATAAGGCAGAAGTGCAAATAATCAAATTTGTGCACAAAATTCTCCAAAAGCAACCTGACACCAAAACAAAACCAGTCTCAAAGGCTGCACCACACTGGGAACGAGCCCGAACTCTGAGTACCATTTACCTCTGACGGTCTGGATTTTTAATTTCTGCAGAGTTTATATAAGTACGTTTATAAACCATCTGCCATGTCCACACTTTAAGAAAAAACAAACAATTAAAAAATGATGCAATACTTATTTGCATATGTAATTGCAATCAGAAGAGAAGAGGACAGCGAACCCAAGCAGAACCCCCACTTTGCCCACCTCAGGTCTGCAGAAGAGGGCTACAAAAACCAGGGCAGAGCATACTACGCCCTGCTAACGCCACAACCACCTCCCTCTGCAGCCGCCTCTACCTACAGCGCACTCCAACTGGTTTTCACCCTTACTCCGCACCCCTCCCAGCGGGGGGAGCCCGGAGAGGAGACCCCACACGGCAGCGCTGGACAAGAACTGCTCTGCCCATAGGAAGACGACTCAGCCCATGAGAAACTGCCCCCAACATATGATCAATTAGAAAAGCCATCCAAACACTGATCTTCTGCCTGGAGTTTGTAAGATTATATTCTATTTTCTACCTAGACTGGAAACCAATGTTGAAAACTGAACAAAAATCAAATACGTAAATAGTTCCTGACAGTACACAAAGGTTTTTCTGAAAGAAGATTAGCAAGAAGTAGGACCCCCAGTTCAGCACGTATCAGGCAATAGCTGCCTTTAAAGCATCACACTGGTTTCTAGAATTATATTTAATATGATAAGAAATATTTTCATTTCTTTTCCAGTTACTAAAAGTTTTGCACTAACAGAAGTGAATATACGAAAGATATTTAAAAATAAACATCAAACATTACCAGGCAACAACAAAAAATATACTTTTACCTCCTCCCAAGCACAGATATAGTCATCATCACATCAAACTCATTAGTGAAATTCTTCAGGCAGTGTCAGGGAGGACTGTTTCAGGCAACAGGTTCCACCACCCATTCTTCTTGCCAGCCTGACTTTAGGAGACACGGTCAACTAAAGCCCATTACAACCACGTATTTTATTCCTGGCCATCGAGGGCTCTATTCACAGAAAAGTCGGAGTCCATTTACTGAAAGGAGCGCAAGTTTCTGTACTGCTGCTTCTGAAATAATTTTGCACTGGATTAAGTCAATCTACTTAAAACAGTATTACAAGTTAACTGGCAAAATGTTTTAGTAAAAAAAATCTCACACATTTAATAGGAAAAAAAATAAAATCTTCCCTTCAGCAGAGAGGAGCTGTAGAAATGAATCCACAGACATGATACACATTTCCCTTACCTAAATACTCTATTTCCCATTGTGCCCATTCATTTAAACTGCATAGTAAGAGAACAGTACTTTCACAATTCAATTTTATAGTTCCTTCACTGTATTACAGTGAGCTATTTTTAGTGACAAAAGCTGCGGTGAATACGGCACCCGGCGATGGGTTTGGGCACGCGGGACGGACGCCTGACCTCCCCCAGGCCGGCCCGGGCCAGCCGGGCGATGGGCAGAGAGCCGCCAGCTCCGGCCCCCGTGGGCTTCCGAAACCCGCCCCGGGCCAGGCAGCTCCATCTCACCAGACAGTACTTCGTAAGCAATTTTTTTTCCTAAAGCTGGCAGAGTAGTTTTTCCACATGAGTTTCCTCTCAGGCGGACTGCTGCCCAGCACGCAGCGGCAGGCGGAGCAGTGGCAGCGCGCACCCCGTGGAGCGGAGCACCCCCAGCCCCACGCACCGCCCGCCCAGTCCCCCCGCGCAAACCCGAGCCGCAGCGCCAGGTATAAACCAGAAGACTCAAACAACTGCTCAAGGTAACAAATAGGTTGTTGAAAACAAACACCAACAAAATGAAAGTTTTTCCCATTTAAAACACCAATAGTAAAACCATAAACATTTCAAGTAAGATGCAAAAATATATACTTTTTTTTTTTTAAATCTGCTTCAGAAATGCTGTTTTGAGAAGCAAAGAACGTTCCCCACAGGCCACAACCCACCATGATCTGGATTTCCAGGGAATCCCACACCTTTAGTACCAGGAAGTTCATTTAACCAGGAAGGTACCATTTAGAAACAGGAAAGTTCATTGATGGTTTGGACAAACATTTCAGATCCAAATTAGCACCTTCTCCAATGTAACACAATTTAACTGGAAAAATTCCAAACAGGTCTTGTCGAGAAGTCTGGAAGTCACAATGGATGCAGTGAAGCAACTTGCACTTTACTGTACTCAACGTCTGCATATATTTGGACTCAACCAGCAAGAATGACCTTTTACTGAGCTCAAAATTGAAAATTAATTATACCTGAATAAGCACATTTATTATCATTTCCCCTGATAAAAGGGAAATTATACTGCTGTAATTTAAGTCAAACTATGACAATGGCACAGTTATCGTGTCCTAGCCCTGACCTGACATTTCTAAATGGTATCAAAAAAGTAAAAGATATAGGTCATAATGACAGTGTACAATAAATTAGAGTATTAGGCTAAAGGAGTTATGTGAGAAACGATTTGCTGATACCCATCACATCAGTTAGAATATATAGCGCTCTGCTACAATGTCCAGTTACTTTCACAACTTATGGTCCTTTAAATATTAATAATGTTGATTAAATGAGAAACTTATACACACCTGAAGAAAATAATCTCAAGCGAGCGTGTATACTGCTGGAAGTTATAACACTGAAGTCACTTAAACAGTATCGCTTGGGCACAATTATTGACCCAACCAGCTGCTGCCTTGGCTGCAACAGGACCATACCGAAAGCCCAGAGAAGCTGGGGATACCTTGGCTCCATCTGAATCTCATTAACCACGGCGGCATCCCAGCTAATGCAGAGGTATTAACTGGGCAGCCCAATTTGCATTCTGTTCATGGACAATAAAATGAAAAAGGGAAACCAAGAAACTTCAAAGGGAAAAGAGGACCTTTTAGCTTATTCAAGTACTAGTCTCTTTAAAGAAACAGAAAAACATACTGAATGTGACTTAACTTCAAAACTTGTTATGAATCTCGCTTCTTGGAGTTCCTAAAGTGCCAGTGGCAGAACTTGGCAAGAGACCTGAAGAGGAATCACTGCGAATCTTTCTCTTACGCTTTTCCCCTAATCCTCTGTAAGTGCCATTTCTGACACATGATACCGGACCACAAAAAACAATTGGTCTAACCTAGCGTGGCATGGATTCTTAGAAATTCTCTTCCTAGAAATTTCAGCAGACCAAGATGTTTTTGCCACTGTGTTACAGAAAATGTGTGCTTAGTACCACAAATTTCATTAAAAAACCAAAAATTTACAAAAATGACAACTCATCAGTATCCGTAAAATTCTGAATGTCGCCAACCTTGTCAGGGGTACTGCTGTAACTCGGCTGCTGCAGTAGCGCAGCGCGGTGCAGCTCACCAGTGGGGCTCCGTCCCTCGGCCACCTGCAGCCACAGTTCTCAGCCCTGTTTGTCAACTTTGCGAAACAGCAGTCCTCAAACTTTTTTATTCGTCCCTTTTTGTGTTGCAAGAACGCGTTGGACTGTACCTGGGGGAAGGTATGCTGTCAGAAAGCCGCTGACGTGCAGCGGGGAGACACAGGTGAGGAGAGCCGGCCGGCCGGGCACGCTCCCGCCGAGGCACGAGGGCCGACGGGCGCTGTGGCTCCATCTGCGCAGACCACGCTCCCTCCAGATGCCTCCCCAGCTAGCGGGAGGAGAACAGGAAGGATGCGCCCCGCTTTGTTAATCACTAACGCACAGCAAGACAGACAAGACCTTCCTCCAAAATGTTTAACATACAGAATTACAAAATCTTTCTCCACAAAAAGTTTACCAGAAAGAGAAACCAAGTTTATTCCCACAAGCTACAAGAGCGTATTTTCAACACAGGCAAACACTATGCAGAAATGCCCTATGACTCTACTACCTGGAAATCAGATAACACCATATATCTACCTACAGCGTAATGATATTCACTGGCATCTCCTCCCGTACTTTCGTGCAGCAATTAAGCAAGACTTTTCAGGAGTTCAGACCTTCTATAGAACACAATGTAACCAACTGCATATGCTGCATGTTCCAAATACACTTATGAAATGTTTAAGTCTTGTTATTTCAGTAGGTTATTAATAGCTGGCGTTGGCAGAGAAAAGCTTCATTTCTCTAAAATCATAAATCACGTAAACCTAGTCATAAACATTTTTACGAGTAGGTTTTTTATAAAGCACCGTACTGACATTAGCTAGTCAATCCTCAACCTTTCCTAAGGAGCAGATTAAGTATTAAAGTACATCCAAAGAGTGGCATTGCATTAGTTTACCCTTAGTGGCAGTTACACTCACACAATTAGAGCAAATTCTCTACCAGCTTCATCATTCCAAACCAGAAGCCTAAGACAGTGCTGAATTTTACCAGGTGACTCTGAGGGGAAAATCCCAGTGGACAAGTCAGACTGAGTTAAGTAACTACAAATTAAGTGGTACAGGGCAAAAAAAACCTAAATAAGCATTTTCACACTACCTGACAATTATGCAATCCGCAAGGTACGAAGGTAGTGAGAGCATTCTGTCTCGAGCACCGTGCCTCAGAGATTGCTTCAAACGTTTGTCTGACCTAACGATGCATTTATCATTACTCTATTAGGAATCAATAAAAAAGGAGAGGGGAGAGAATAAGTAACTGGGTAATAACTTCACCTTGGGCAATCAACATTCATACCCAGCATTAATATTCAGGAAATGCCCCAAGTCTCAATCATTAATGATTAAGTATCACCACACCCTGGAATATTTTACTACATATCTGTATTGACATCATGAGATCCAAACTTCAAACGTAATTGCTTGCCGTTTTCAAGATCTTCTCGGAATTAAGGGACGCTGGCTACAACAGCATATATAAACTCCACCTCTGTGCCAAGGCAACAGACAACTGAATTATAAGAGCTATAGTCTCAACATCCAACTCCGTCAACAGTATGAAGACGTCGTAGGACATTTTTAAATATGAACAAACACTTGTGGAAAATGAACTTTGGAAAATTTAAACCTTAGACTGAGAGAGACTCCTTGTATTTAATGAGAAGCAATCCTTTATCATTTCACCTCACTTAGCATCATACAGCCGCTATGCACCTTTCCAAAATACCCACAGCCGCACTCCTGAGCTTACAAACTCAGCTGTTAGTGAACATTAAGCACATGCGAATGGCTCCAGGAACTGCAACCAGCCCGTGACAGCCAGCACCACGCAGGAGCCCCGCGCTGCAGTTCCGTGACAAGTGCCTGAGCCGCTCCGGCACCAGATCAGCGCTGCCCAGACCCACACCTCATTGCCCGGACCCGCACCCCGCTCACACCCCGCGCCCCTGAGCACCACCTAGGTGATGCCCAGTCCTTATACAGGCTGCGGGAGGTCCCAGCAGTGACAGAAGTACACCGTGGCAGACGATGCACTGCGTTTACCGACCCCCTTCACACGCCCCAACTGCAAGGGGATGTGCAAGTTGCCTTCTACCAAATCGTGATTCATCAGATCTCCTCAGAGTTAACAGAGAATTCAGAGGTCCAGCAACATACAACCCCACTGTAGTCACTTTTATAGTACTTCCAAACAAAGCTTCTTAAAAAAAAAATCTAATTCAAGAAGTGGAGACTTCAATGTTTAAATGTTTACCACCTTTTGCAGTATTACTATTTTTAAAGACTGAAGAAAAATATGAAATAAGTCATGTATTTACTTTCATTTTACAAAAAGGATGTTTATTTTTGCAACGATGTTCTCCACAAAGTAACTTGGTGTCCTTTTTTGTTGAAACAAAAGCTAGACAAAAAGAGAAGAGCAACAAACAAACTGCGGATACTATCAAATTAGATGACACATTTGCTTGAAAACCTGAAGTTTAAGGCACTGCAGTCGTATTGAGTACCACTCCATATACAACTACTATACAAAGGGTTAACATACAATACGCAGCAGTTAACTGTCACAGATAACAACAGTTAGAGTTCAATAAATTGGTAGAAGGATTATAGTGCAGTTTTATTGCTACCTCCAACACTTTTACTGATGTGCTTATTACTTTTTTTATAGCATACTGCTCTTGAGCAACCAGTTTATAATATTTACCCTTTTTAAACTAGATATACAGAGAACACATACATATAGAGAAGGGCAACTAAGTTTACATGGCAATATCGGTGCAGCAGCTAACACACCACATATGTATAGTAATTACACACATCTTGCACAGACAAACGTACCTGCAAGCCCAGAGGCTAAAGACAGCTGCCAAAATCCACGCATTTTACGCACTACAAAAAAGCACGAGCTAGGACTGGTCTTTTTCTCTTAAGAGATGAGGATAAAAATACCACCACTACAAACAGGTTTTATATACACATCACACACACAGACTACTTTTCTATCTCTAAATTACCCCTATTAGCTGCAGTACGTCAAAAGAAATTTTAGTCCAACACAAATAAACCTTAGATGTTGGACGTGGTAAAAATACTACATAACACTGGCATGTTTTTTCACTAGGTTTTAAACATTTCCATGTGTAGTTCTTTTGTATGCCTTCATTAATTCAATTTATCCTTAAATCTAGAATTATCTGGTACTGTTTTTAGATCTCACATTAAAAGCAACAAGTAACCTACCACCAGCTGACTCAAATTTACTGCAACTGCAGTTGGTGAATAACATACCACTCCTCTCTCACATACGGCAAAAAACAACTCTTCCCAGGCAGACACTCCTCTGGGTCTGCGATTGCAGACAACAAACATGCAGACTGCAATTCAAAATGCGTATGTTCTCTTAGTAACAGCCTAAAGTATCACACTACCTTTAAAACATCCTATAATCCTGCGGAAGCAGGACAGCAAGAAGTCGCCATGCAACGGTAAGCTGTGAATTTGCACACTGAGTGCTCATTTTTTGTGTCCATCTGCATCACACAGAAACGCCTCCTATACTATACTGTTTCTTCTTGTTCATTTTATCCTGAACAAAGGCAAAATGGAAACCCCTTGACAAAACACGCCTAACGTGGACATCCAGTGTGTACGCACAGGACTTAGCGCAAAACACGCTGCGTGTAAAAGCCATGTATGTCTGAAGCATGTCCGACACACGTACGACGTCCTCCACGCACAGTGTGCTGTTCAGAACACACCCTGGTTTGTGTATAAATACAACTGCGACTTGACATATCCCTGTTTCTGACACATTTGCAGTACATCCCTTTTTTACCACTCTCACCCAAAAGTGGAATAAGTGCATTTCTAAGACCACCACCTTCAGAAAAAAATGAGTGGGAAGGAAAGCATTAAATTGTGACCAGGACCAACAGTCCTCCAAAGCAAAACTTGTGGGACAGCTCAATTCACCGGTAGCTTAGTGGCACACCGCTCGGGGATTCCAGACAGAC